GGGCGAAATTTTCAGGGTTTCTTGCAATATTCTTTGTAAAACCGACTTTTTCTTAGGTGTGAAACATCAACTTCGATTCAGCATCAAATTCAGCACCCTTAAAACATACAGAACCGTTCGGAAAAACAATCCGAGTTTTTGTCCTGGGTCAGATACCTATGACAGAACTATATCCATCTTCAGATCATTTTGCCACTCACAGAGAAATCAAAATTAAATTTCCAACATTTGTCAAGTTGGTTCCAAAAAATTGAAAAATGAATTTATTATATGGATTTGTTTGCACGTCTTTAAAAATCGTATGTCCATCACTTAGAAAATTTGTTCCGTCATTTGTTCAAGAATTACGAGGAATAAACGATTCCTCCCTCCATAAAAAATGTTTTCTATATGTGGGATTATCGATTTAGAAGAACAAATATATTTTCCGCGATATTTTGTTTTCGTAAACCAATGTAACGTATATTACAATCGTTTGGCCATATAATGTATTAATTTTTGAAAATTGATTCTGCTATTTTTCTGGCATGCGTATTTATGTTTCTTTTTTGAGAATTTCCACATTATCTTCGCATGTATTCGCCAGTTTTTACGTTCATCAACCCAACATACTGTAATGGAACGAGCGATCAACCACGATGGACCGCCAATATTATGTAATGATCTGGCGTCATACATTATATTTATAAAATAGGCCAAATGCCAAGAACATAGGGGGTGGGTTGGGCGCGGCGTATGTCGTTGGCCTCGCCCGAAATAATGCCAGTTCTAAAGATCCCAGGAAGATTCGGTGGTCCTGGGACGAGGTATGTTGCAAATTCTACGATATTTGTTACTTAAATATTTGTACATATTTGTTATATATGTTACATAATCACATGCTGATGATAATCGTATTCCCAATCAGACGTTGCGTGTTTATTAACAGAAAATGAAACGTAACACCGTATCTTACAAAATACGTGGATTTACATTTCTTTTTGTAATTTTAGATGTATGCATTATCGGCTAATTATGGATACTTAAAAGAATGGCATGGCTTTCATTTTCGTCGAATTCTCTGAATTTTCGAAAATAGCAAATTTAGAAACAATGCGAGAAAGTGTCTGCTGTTGTAGCACCACTACTTTTTCGTTGAACTCTGAATTTTCGAATATAGGAAATATTCGTTTTTTCGTCGTCTTCCTAGAACTACAATATTAAAGGTAGAGATTCTGAAATCTGCTCTTCAAAGACATCTTTAATTAGTCTTAGATAATTTTTCGAAAATATAAATTGTTTTCGCGATATTTTGAGTGAAATATGGGCAATTTCTAAACAACTATATTCTCAACAAATTTTCCTTTCTTGAACAGGGCAAAGTACGTTTTCAGAAGTAAAAATTGTGCATGCCATATATTCGGTGAATTTTCTGTATTTTTGAAAATTGCAAAATATTAACATTGAAAAACCAGTATTGATGATAGACATTTTTTCAGTAGTGAAATATATTCTAAAAACTAGATTTTCTTTAAATTAGGCGCAGATGTGACTAAATTAGTATACTAGAGTTATTGAATTACACAAAATGTATTTGCGACTGTAGACACTCTGTGTTCAGGGTTCTAATGTTTTATAAACTTGTGATTATTAACATACTTATTCTGCGGTAAGTTGAAAATCAATATTTAATCTTTTCTTTCAATTTGAGTGTCATTTTGCGCAATGCGAGTGAGTTATTTTATGAGCTGATTTTTATTGTCTTCTTTCTTTAGCTTCTTTACTTTTGAACGAACATTTTCAATGGGATTCATGTCAGGGTTATTTGCAGTTCATTAGAACCCGCACTGACCAATGTCTTGAAGATGTTTTTCAACTTTCTTTCCTATTGTGATAGGTAGCGTAGTCATTGACTTTTTCCCCCTAAAAACTCATTTGAGTGATGGAACCATTACATCTTTAGGGGCTCTAAGTATTGGTCGTGCCACATTGTACCATTAACTGTTTATACATTTCCGATAACATTAACAAGCATTACATTTCAAACAGTTACTTTTGTCAGGTGCTTCTCGGGACTCATTATAATCCGTTAAGTCAAAGAAAGAGTATTTAGTCATACACCTCTGTGATGCACAATTTTTGAGTAATTTTTGGTTGATTTAAAGTCAATTTATAATATTTGAAACTCAGTGACTACCGCAGAATGTTAAATTCCGTATTGATGGATAAATTAGATATAATATTCTAAGATTTTTTCTAATTTAACCATCTTTATAATTTTTTTCTTAAAAAAGGCTCCAATTGTTTTCAATAATAATTTTCTCATATAGAGAAAAGGACGGTTAAGAAAATGCAATCTCTGAAATTTCGACGTAGCAAAAGAGCAACTTGATTTGGAATCTATCTTCCACTTTCATTATTGAATCTTGCTTCTTCCATATTATTGAATCTTAGAACATTAAATCCCTTCCGGTATTTATCCATAAATACCAGTAGTTTTTGCGTACGTGTCATGATTTTGAGTTACATCGTGGTTTATTCCACATTTATCTAAAAAATATAAAAATCGGGTCAATTTTTCTTCTTTAAACTTTTTCTTCGCATAGAGCACATACCCTTTAAATTACCTGATTTGTATTCAACTCTTCAGAATCTGGTGGTTTACAGAGACACGTTCTGTAAAGATATTTCATGCACTTGCCGAACACCAGGGTAAGTCGATTTGCCTATTAACTAGGGGCAAATGTTTCGTGTATAACTTTGTAATATGAAATTTCTCACCACAGGTTTATTAGATAATCCCGATCAACTGCAACCCCTATATGCTGAAGAGGTTTCTAGTACACCAGTATATATATTGTTGAATCGTGAATTAAAATACTGTGCTCATTGGTACCTTTAATCATAATCCAACTACTGTATGTATAATAATGAAACTTGGTCTGTTACATAATGGCACAGACTTTTTCGTAGTAAAGTCTTCTGATTTTCTTGGTGTAGACTGGCTTTACGGTCTTCCCCAACCTCTTGCCAGCTGCCATCTATTGCCGCTTAAAGTACATTTTTTGACTTTGTCTCAAGTTTTCGGTTTCGTAATAGTAGAATCGAAATAATACTTTAAGAATATTAAAGAAGAGCAAAACCTTGTCATAAATGGCATTTTCCATTGACAAATGTGCAGCCATTTTTAAGAAAATAGCGTGTATCGTTACTGTAAAAGCGAAATTTAAAGATCTTTTTCACTGAAAGTTTTGAGTTTTTGAAAAACTTCATTTAAAATCATTTGAGGCACTTTAACACACAAATGCAATAATGTTTACAATGGATACAAATTTGCATATTAGCTGCGTGAGAGAACTTTTGTTTAATTTTTGAAAAAACAAAAGAATTCCCCAAAATGAAATTTGGAACCATTTTTGAGAAAATAAAGTTTGAGCGTTTCTGAAAGGGCGGAATTTTGAGCTCCTTTTAACAGAAAACTGTTATGTTTTCGAGAAACTTTACCTGACATTATTTAAAGAACATGTACTCATAAATATGATAATGTGAACAAATTGCTGTGAATGTAAATATTAACGACGTGGGAGACAAGTCAAAAGATTACATTTTTGTAATTTTTGAACAAAAAACAAAAGAATAGATAAATGTGGAGTTTATGTCATCTTATAGAGTGCATGTCACACTATCTCCCCCAAAGGTTTAAAGAAAATATGTGGAGCAGTTTTTGAGAAAATCTTGTTTTTGTTACTTTTTGAAAATTGCAAATATTGCATGCATTATTGTGCAAAAACTACTAAATTTTTTTAAAAAAATTACATTACCTAATTATGGGTCACAAATTTTCTTTGAAAGAAAAATCGCTATCTTCAATTTTGTAGTTGTAGGAGGACTTGACAATTTTAATCGTTTCAAAAGTTCAGAGTTACCCCTGAAATATAGCACTTTATATCACTATCGGACCTGTGGCACTTTTATATGTGTATTTTTGTCTACTTTTACAAGAAATTGAAAGAAAAAGTTTGGAACCGTTTTTGAGCAAATTTTGAAAATAACCACGGGGCTTCATGTAACGTGCCCCCAAATTGAATATTGCTTTTCAAAATCTCAAAGCTTCGACTCGAGCCAGAGGGACAGGGGTTCCTTCATTTTGGAAAAAATTCTACGTGAGGTTCAGGCGCTATTAGTATTCACAGACAGAAGGACAGACGTTTTGAAAAAAACACTTTTTCGATTTCAGGGGACCCCAAAAAGTGTATTTCCCTTGAAATCTCGAAATCGATTTCCCGCAGCATTACACAACTTTCCCTATACTACGTATATTGTTCCGTATATACGTATATATACGAAAAAGTAAAAAGATGGTTGGGGTTTTTGGGCTGCAAGAAAATGTGCGTTGATTACACATTTCCCCACATACTACAGTTTCTTCTGTTCTTGAAAATAAATAATAAATATATAAATAAATTCCTCTGAAAAACAATCGCATGTAGCGACATCAGTTGTTTCCAGATACGCTCATTAAATTAATTGCAAATAAAAATTGCCCCTATTTACTTTCTTGCAAGCACTATTTTAGTAGCCGTTTTTCGTAAGGTGACTGGATGGTTGCTAACGTGACTGCTAATGTGGATTTCATTTCACTGGGAATGTAGTTCTAGTCAGATTTAGTCCTGTCTAATAATTTTGCGTGTTGGAAACAGTTTTGCGGGTTAAACGAGTATTATAATATTAAGTTCTAAATAATAGAAAAATGTATTTGATGCAGTTCTAGTTTGTTTTTATTTCTGTGTATTTAGAAGATAAGAGTGTTTTCTTATTTTAGTATCATCCTCTTATTTCATTTCAACATCTTAATTCAGTTATTGTTATAGATTTTTCAGGGAAGGATTTGAATTATTCATTTTTTTAAATAATTGGCAAAGTAATCAGAATAAATCAAAAATGAATTTGATCTTTATATTGCTTTGAATTTTATGCATTTGAGAAATAAAATAATAATGACATATTTTCCTTCTTTGCAGAACCATCAATACCCAGCCAAATGCCTACTGCAGAAAACATGGAATCATCTCAGAAAGAGATTTCTTTTAAACAATCAATATTTAGTAGTCAAGTGATTGAGAGCCAGTCATTGTCAACTACTGTGATAAGAGAGGAAGGGAAGCACGTGACATCTCGTTCTGAACAAACTCTCCAGAGGATCGAGCAGAAGTCTCCTGTTCAAGTACATATTTTAATATTAACAATAATAAGAATACCATACTTGAAATAGAATTATGAAATGTAATGTATTTGAGTGCATTAAACTATACATTCATGTTTTTGTTATGATTATGGCAGGTTCAAATTCAGAAATTTAAAGAAGTGCAACGTAAAACTAATGAAAGTTCTGATTCTGAACACCAGTCATTTGTATCAGCTATTAATAAAGAGGATTCTCAAGATAGCTCGCCATCGAGTTACTCAACTCCTACCGCTTCTCCAAAATATGTACGAAAATCAGTACCACCCCGTTTTATTACACCACTTAATGGAAGAATTGTCGATGAAGGTGCCCAAGTGATATTAGAAGGCATTATTGATGGTGAGAACAGCACAGTATTGTTCTTGTTTATATTTTTATTTTATTTAATACAGTTCGGCAATGAAGCAAAGTGAACGTAGTAGTCATTGATGTGTCTTTAGAATGACAGTGAAAAAGATCTACGAGTAATTGACTCCACATTCTGATGGCCTAAAGCTGTGACCATACGAACATAACAGAACGCATGGTGTTTGGTTTTGAAACTCCCTTCTCCATTTCGAGACTCTTCTTTCAGGTTGATTATATTGGGTGGTTGGCTGGTTCGTTGCAACACCTCTCCCCCGTACGGGGAGGGGGATTGAGAGTCTGGGTCATTTCATGTCGGTAAAGTTAGCTTTCACTCTTACCACAGAATTGGAAAAGAGTATCCCAGAATGTTGTTCTAATTAAGAACAAATTTGTACCCAAATTTAAAAATTTTGAACCAATGCAGAACGTGAAAATATAATTTTTAACTTACCCTTGCCAGTAGCCCTGACAAGGTGTTCGTTTATTTTCATGAGGAATACATACGCCGCAGCTCTTAGACTTTTGTGGCAAAGAAGGAAGTAGTGTTGAATTACTAATTTATAACCTAACATAATGTATAGAACAAGCCGGCACTTTGGCAGTAAACCTAATATTCACAAGCTAACATTATTGTATTTCCTGTTAAAGTTTTGTGTCTTAGGTTTTCTTGATTGTGAAAAACGGCACAACAATTTCGATTAAACTTGGTCCTCCGATAAATATTCTTAAGGGAATGTTGCAATCTCATGAACTTTGAAGATTCGAATTTTTCAAAATTGCTAAAATTTTATTTTTTTCAGCCTTTCCTAAAACTACGATTGTGAAGATAAATATTTTTCTTAATGAAATGTGTGCATCAAAAATATATCTTTAACTAGTATCATATTCAATTTTTCGAAAATATACGTATTTTGTGCGATATTTTGTATCAAACAAAGTCTGTTTTTATTTTCTATTAACCATTATTTCTTAAAAACTGCACAAAATGTTTTGATTTGATTTGTACCTTAGATAACATAAAGAACTCTTAACGTCTCATGTTCGTTGAATTACCTATTTCGAATATTTAGATTTTTTCGGCGTGTTTCTACATTTACATTTGTGAAGATACATTTTTTATTATGAATTCTGTTCATCAGAAACATCTCATCAAATAAGTTCAAGTTGAATATTTCGAAAATGTGCGTAATTTGGCGTCAAACTTAGTTAAATTGAATGAAAACATGAAGTGGCGAGGGTAAGTTAAAAATTATATTTTGATGTTCTGCATCGGTTCAAAATTTTTAAATTTATGTGTAAATTAATTCTTAATTAGAACAAAATTGTGGTATATTTAGTTGCTTTATTTCATGGTTTTTTCTTGGGTGGGTATGTTAATTTATCATTAAGTTAGCGCACTCACTCTTACCACTAAGCGTGCTATATTTTGATGCTCTCCATCGGTACAAAATTTTTTAATTTGGGTATACATTAATGGTTAACTAGAACAAAATTCAGGGTATATTATGCTATTTTTGCTGCATACGTTTTTCATACATCCCACTCTTAAACGTGGTAAATTTTGATGTTCTTCATAAGTTCAACATTTTTAAATTTGGGTTTAAATTAGTTCTTATTTAGAACAAAATTCTCGGAATCTCTTTTTCAATTTTGTGATTAGAGGGTGTGCTAACTGTATGGTCATTGTTATTTCGCTTAGGATCGTCGGGTTATTTTGTTAAGATGCTTGACGATGAGAGGAAGGATGTAGGAGGGGAATGTGGTGGGATGAAGGAAGGGAATTTTTAAGTTGGGTTCGTCTTTGTGTAGTGGGTCATTGTTACGAATTTGTCGTTAGGTCTTATTTAGTTCGCACTTTGTCCTAGGTTATGGGAGAGGGGAGTGGCAGGATAACCAAGGGATGCTTTTTTGTGAACACCGGGGAGGATTCCGTAGAATCTGCTGGTGGGGATGGATGAGGTTTCGAAATTGGGGGTTGGTAATGAACCGTTGTATTATAAAGGTAGGTAAGGATGTGAGGTATTCCTCTATTGTTTCCGTAGGTCGTTGTAACGCGCGGGTATAGAGAGGGGACGGAAGGTCAGTCGGAGTACTCTGTGTTCTTACGATTCATTTTCTATACTTCCTTATGGGTGTGATGAACCAGGTGGAATGGGCATTGGAAAGGGTTGAGCGGTTATAAGTGTTATAGGTTTGGATTTTCTTTGGGATGGGAATAGATAGAGATGTAACGATAGAATAAAGGGCATTGGTGATGCGGTTGGTTTTGATTGTGGTGTTGAGGATGTGGTGGACCCAGAGGAGTCTGCGGGAAAAGGTAATGCCAAGGTACATGATATGGATTTCCCAGAGGATGGGAGTTTCATTGTCAGGGGGTGGGTTTCGCGGAAAAGTTCTGTAGGAAAAGAGGTTGGCCTGGGATTTTTCAGGGTTAATGGTGATGGAATTTTGTGATGCTCAGAAGTGGAAGGAGTCGAGGGATTTTTGATGGGTTCTTAAGGTGCATGTGCAGTTGTGGAAGGAAGCAGGGAAGGCAAGGTATTCAACGAAAAGGAATCTCTCTCTACTCCTGGAGTGTCATTTATACATAGGAAAAAGGAGTGGAGAAAGCACGCCGCCCTGTGAGATGCCGGCTTGGTTGGGGCAATTGGAAGATTTTTAGCGTAGTATTGGACGAAGAAGGGTCGATGGGATTGGTAGCTTTGACGTAGAGAGTGGATATGGTCATGGATGTGGGGGCGGATTTTTGTTAGGAGGATTGGGCGGTAAATGGTGTGATATGAATGTGTGATCGGCGAGTATGGTGGGGATTTCTTTGCGGTCTTGGAGGGGGATGGATGTGGATACTGTAAGATTGAAGATTTGGGACGCAGAGCGTCCTTTACGGAAATCGATTTGAGATTGGCAATGGATAGGGTCGATGATGGGGGTTAGGAGGAGGAGAATTACCTTTTCAAAAATTTTACTTAGCATAGGAAGAAGGATTATAGGTCTGTAGTTGGTGGGATGCCCATGATCATTGCCGGGTTTGGACACACGGCATGTTTACCAGAGCGTTAGGAAATACGATGGCTTAAAACAGGGGTTGAGGATGAGGTAAAGAGGTCCCAGGCATTCGTGGGGAGGTTGCCGAGTTGGGTGGGGAGAAATCCATCGGGTCCTGGGGTTTAAGTTGATTAGTCATTCTTAGAATTTATCCGAGTTCCATATCATTTGTCGTCCATGTTGTTTGCTGACTCAGGGGTAAAGTTAGGATTTTCGAGGAGCTGAGTCCATTTTGGAGAATTGGGATGTTTGGAGGGCGGAAGCGGTCGCCCTTGGTTTGGGCGAAGGCGTTTGCAATTGTTTGTGTATCAAAGAATCACGCACTGCAGCGGTTGTCTGCTGGGATACCATACCCTGAGGGTTGGTCGCCAGGTCAGGGCCGTCGTCCTCGCTCGTCTCCACGTCCATGGGTTTATCCAGTTTGGTAGCCTTGTCGACGTCAGTTTCGGATTTCGAGTCGGGCGACGGCCGAAGCCGCGCCTCCTCCCGGAAGCGCCGGTTCCTCTCCGCGAGTGCCCTCCGGAACACGCCGAGCGGAACCAAGGACTGGTCGCCCGTGTGCCCGGCGGGTTGCTCTTCTACGCCGGGCTGTTCCAAACCCAGCGTGGTTGGATGGTTGATTCACAGCTACACGCTCCTTGACGGTTGGACGATGCCGATGGACAGCTGTAACAAAAATAAACGTAGCTAATGGTTGTCTCTTCTGAGGTAGGTCCTCTCTGAGTCTGCCGCTCGCTCAATCCATACGAAGTGAATCTGTTCGCTTCGAATAAGTAAAGTCTCATTAATAGAGCATGACGTTGAATATTTCTAATATCTTTTGTTAGGCGTATTACAAAGATTGATGGTCCACGTCTGATGGGGTCTGCCAGCCACTAGGCACTCCTCAGCAGCAGGAACCTCGCGCTTTTTTCTCTTGGCCTGAGGCTTCTGATTGGGCCGAACTGGGAATGATTAGTTTACTTCTCTTCGGTTTGCACATTTTAACGGGTATCAGGAGCTCTGCACACCCAGAAGTTTACCTGTATCCATCGGGTTGGCAAAAGGTCTACTGAATGGAATATTGCGAGAGATGGTTATATGAATTAGCTTCTAAAAGAATAAAAATAAAAATGTAGAGAGAAATAGGGAAACTACCCGCCGTATCAGGGTAACTATTGAGGACATGGGTGGCAATTTCTTAATTATTTCGTCGAAAACGAACATAAACTAGTAACTCCTTTCACTTACGTGGAGCTAAACTCATCCTGTGGAACTAAACTCTCACTGTGAAAACAATGAGAGTTGATGCTGTGCCAATGATTCAGGGTTGCCGAATCCGTGCGGAGGCAAACAAACAACCGAATTTTTCTTCAAATGACACCAAACCGCCTTGGGAAAAATGTTTGATGTTACATACTGTGTTCATAGGAATAGATATCTTCAGTTCAGAGCAATGAATCAAGTAACATTGGAAACCTCCTTAATTTCAGGATATCCTCCTCCGACAGTATCTTGGACTAAAAACAACCAAGAATTAATTTCTTTGGAGGGGAAACTCAGTATTAAGTATGATCACAATAGAGTGGAAGTCATTCTTAATGATGCAACAGTTCAAGATGCTGGTAAATATACATGCAAAGTTGTCAACAACGTGGGAAGTGCAAGTAGCACTGCTGACATTGTAGTAAAAAGTAAGTATAATTAAGAACATTATCACAATTTTTGAATAATCAGATTTTAATGTCGGATTGCATTTTTCAGAAACGTTTCTACCACCAATATTTGGCAGACGACTTCAAGCTCGGTCGGTTAAAGAGGGGGAAAGAGTTGTTATGGAAGTTGAAATAACAGGAATTCCCGATCCTGATGTCACATGGTACAAAGATGGTCAACAAATTTTGAGTACCGTTCCTGACTCTTCTTTTAGAACAAAAGTACAAGGAAATTGCTATTCATTGATAATTGAAAAAGGTAAGTAGAGTTCGCATTTTCAGAAATCGTATTAAATGGCATTGATGCACTTTGTAAAATATCTTTCTCGATTCTGTATTAGGTACATTCCAATTTTTACGCCAATATTCTCATATAGAAAATGGAACCATAAACCCTGGATAATTTGACCGTTTTCGTTCACACTACCGTGATGTTACACACCCAGTTTTTACTTTCTCGAAGGCGTAGTAGTTATACAGTGTAATATACTTGTAATATAGAAAGCCATGTAATGCTACGGAACGTCAATGACGGGATTTTAACGGAAAATACTTTTAGGGGTTCCCTGTATCAGAAAAGTAGGTGTGTTTTCAAAACGTCCGTCTGTCCGTCCGTGTGTGAACAACACTAGCGCCCAAACAAATTATACGATTTTTCCCCCAAAATGAATATTTTTGATGTATTTGGCCCTATTCCAGGCCCTGCGAATTTGAAACAAATTCAGTAAACCTTGGAGGTACTATACATGATTTTGGGGAACATTTTCAAACTTTTCTAGAAAAATAACTTGGACTCAAGAGAATAGCTAACTAAGTAGTACACGAATGTCTCTGCCATTCTTTACCCCAGTTTAAACTTATTATTGGATGACATTGGTTGAAGTGAATGTTCTTTCTTAAGTGAAATTCAGGATGTTCTCTGAAAATAGTGAATTGATTAATATTTGGGAGAAAATTGGAGGTCAATGTTTTCTGACTCTTGAAGTATTTAACCACAATAATAATTTTGTTTAAATTCTTGATAGTTATAAAAAATAACAAAAGAGTTACAAAAAATTAGAAGTTTAAAAAATAGTTATAAACATTAAAAAACAAACTCTCATTCTTCACCTTATTTTAAACTCTGGTAAACCAATTGAACTTGCTATCCACAGTATTGTTGTCAATGCAAATAAACTTGTCCTATTTCTCCCAAATGTTGGACTCAAGAACAGCTTTACTTAATGTTAATATGATGAATCTTTTTGAATAGGAATTATTTAAATGTAGAAACTCATACAGTGTGTAACAAAAATATTTCTGTAAAACATTTGCATTAGTTCATTCTTTACTCATAGCTGACACTCCAGTATTTATATCTGAATTTTTGTTCATGTTGTGCTATTTTGCTTGTTTTTCTTCTCAAAGTTCATGCTATTTGAAGAAACTATGTATTTCAATTATAGAATACAATTTCTTACTAAACCCATCCTAGATAAAGTTTTATTGATGGTTTTTAACTTTTTATGTATCATCACTACATTCCTCATTCAGACTCATAATATGTATTCCTACTTGTCGATTTGTAGAAATTGCATACTATATCTGATTATTGCTTCTATTTTTCTTTTTAGTATCGCTTGATAACTCTGGTCAGTACTTGGTGAAAGCAGTAAATTCCAAAGGTGAAGCTGCAAGCATGGCAGATATTGTTGTGAACAAACAAGAATCTCCGACTGAAACAATAATAAAAGTCGTAAAAGAAGACATAAGAGAGTCAGAAATAGAGGTATGTTTCAAAACCTTAATTAATTTTTATTACAATGCACATTCTCTCTTGCTAGGACAAAAGAGTCTAAATGAATATTCAGGAAATTAATAAGATCACTATGAAATATGATAGAATGAAAAAATAAGTTAATTTATTACAGTCTAATTATAACTTCTAAATAAAGATAACATATTGAAAATACCATAAAGCAAAACCAAATGAATGTATATGCATACATATATATATATATATATATA